GGTCACAGGGGGGACAGCGCCCCACAATTCCTGGGAAAACATCCAGGACCCCAAAATTCCTGGGAAAAACCCCCAGGACCCCATCCAAACCCCAGCCCCCCACCCAAGGCTGTTCCAGCTGCTCCCAGCTCATGTTCTTCAGGTGTGCCCCATGCACCACACACACTTTGGGGGGGTCCTTGGGAGGTCAGAACCCCAAAATCTGCTCCAGCACCCCAAAACTCCTTGGAAGACCCCCCAGGACCCCAAAATCCACTCAGCTTCCCCTACCTAGCTCACCTGGGGCTCACCTGGGGTTCCTCTGGCTCACCTGGGACTCATCTGGGGTTCACCTGGGCCTCACCTGGAGTTCCTCTCTCTCACCTGGAGTTCCTCTCTCTCACCTGGGATGCACCTGGGGCTCACCTGGGCCTCACCTGTCTCACCTGGGGTTCACCTGGCTGACGGGGATGTTGAGCCGTGCCGCGATGTCCTCCACGGTCTCGTTGCCCTCGGAGATGATCCCCACGCCCTTGGCGATGGCCTTGGCCGTGATCGGGTGGTCCCCGGTCACCATGATCACCTGGGGGACACGGTCAGCACCTGGGGACACCTAGGGACACCTGAGGGACACTTGGGGAACACTTGGGGACACCTGGGAACACCTGGGAGTACCTGGAGGACACCTGGGGACACCTGAGGGACACTTGGGGACACCTGGGGAACACCTGAAAGACACTTGGGGGACACTTGGGACGCCTGGGGACACCTGGTTAACACCTGAGGGACACTTGGGGAACACTTGGGGACACCTGGGGAACACCTGAAAGACACGCCCCATCCCCTTGGGACACCTGGGGAACACCTGAAAGATACTTGGGGGACACTTGGGAACACCTGATAACACCTGGGAGTACCTGGAGGACACCTGGTTAACACCTGAGGGACACTTGGGAACACCTGAGAACACCTGGGAGTACCTGGAGGACACCTGGGGACACCTGAGGGACACTTGGGGACACCTGGGGAACACCTGGGAACACCCCAGAATGGTGGGGGGGCAAGGGGAAATGGGGATCCCAGGTGGGCTCAGGAGGGTTTTGGGGTCCTTGGCAGGCTCGGGGGGGGTTGGGGTCCCAGGCCGGGGTTTTGGGGTCCCGGGGGGCTCAGGGTGGGTTTTGGGGTCCCACCTTGATGCCGGCACTCCGGCACTTGCCCACGGCGTCGGGCACGGCGGCGCGGGGGGGGTCGATCATGGACATGAGCCCCACGAAGCAAAGGTCGCTGGTGGGGAAATTCACCTCGTCCGCGTCGAAACGGAACCCGCGGGGGAACTTGTCCGGGGGCAGGTACAGGTGCGTACCCAGGACCCTCTCCCCGAGCCCCCCCAGCTCCAGGTAGGCGTTCTGGAAGGCCTCGCGCATCTCCTGGTCCAGGGGCTGCTCCTGGCCCTGCAGGAGGATGCGGGAGCAGCGGTCCAGGATGCGCTCGGGGGCTCCCTTCATCACCAGCAGGTAGCCCTGGGGGTCCTCCTCGCGCTCGTGGATGGACAGCTGGACACGGGACGGACAGGGGACAGTGGGGGGACGTGGCACGGTCAGCGTGGGGTCACCCAGAGCCAGCCCGGGGTCACCCCAGGGTCGCACACACGGCCCAGTGCTCCCAGTGCCCATCCCAGTGCCCCATCCCAGTGCCTCCCGTGCCCCCAGTTCCCCATCTCAGTGTTCCCCAGTGCCTCCAGTGTCCCATCCCAGTGTCCCCATTGCCCCCAATTCCCCATCCCAGTGCCCCATTCCATTGCCCCCAGTGCTCCCACTGCACCCAGTTTCCCATCTCAGTGTTCCCCAGTTCCCCCATTTCCCCCACCCATTGGTGTCACCCATTGACCAGCCTGGTGTCACCCATTGACCATCCCAGTGTCACCCACTGACCATCCTGGCGTCACCTATTGACCATCCCAGTGTCACCCATTGACCACCCTGGTGTCACCCATTGACCAGCCTGCTTCCAGGGGATTGGGGTTTTGGAGCATCAGGGTTTTGGAGCATTGTGGTCCCAGGGCACTGGGGTCCCAGGGGATTGGGGGTCCTGGGGTGCCCCCCGCTCACCGGACTGGTCCTCGGTGGTGTCGGCCTCGTGGATCTGGTTGTCGAACCACATGTGGGCCACGGTCATGCGGTTCTGGGTCAGCGTGCCCGTCTTGTCTGAGCAGATGGTGGAGGTGGAGCCCAGCGTCTCCACGGCCTCCAGGTTCTTCACCAGGCAGTTCTTGCGGGCCATGCGCTTGGCAGTGAGGGTCAGGCACACCTGGGGGGCACCCCGGGGTGTCACGGGTGTGGGACCCCCGGTTTGGGGTGTACAGACCCCTCTGACCCCAAATCTGGCACCAGAACCCCTACAGTGTGCCCTCAACACCTGAACCCCGTTGTGGTCACCTGGTCATGGGGGTCAGGCACACCTGGGGGACACCCCGGGGTGTCACGGGGGTGGGACCCCCATATGGGGCCTGTGGACCCCCCCAGCACCCCAAAAGTGAACTCAGTGCCCCCTATCCCCAATTCCAGTGCCCCCTCCCACCGTGACGGTGGCCAGCAGCCCCTGGGCACGTTGGCCACCATGATGTCCATGAGGAAGATGATGGTGTAGCTCTCCTGCCAGTGCGCCCAGTGCCCTCCCAGTGCCCCCAGTGCCCTCCCAGTGTCCTCCCAGTGCCCTCCCAGTGCCCCCAGTGCCCTCCCAGCACCCCCAGCCCCTCACCGTGACGGTGGCCAGCAGCCCCTCGGGCACGTTGGCCACGATGATGCCGATGAGGAAGATGACGGCCTCCAGCCAGGTGTAGCCGAGGATGAGCGAGAGGATGAAGAAGGAGAGGCCGAGGAAGACGGCGACGCCGGTGATGAGGCGGATGAAGTGCTCGATCTCCATGGCGATGGGGGTCCGGCCCACCTCCAGCCCCGAGGCCAGCGAGGCGATCCTGCCCATCACCGTGCGGTCCCCCGTGGAGATGACGATGCCACGCGCGGTCCCTGCGGTGGCACCGAGGTGACAAAGAGCCCAGGGGGATGGCACTGGGATGGGCACTGGGATGGGCACTGGGATGGGCACTGGGATGGGGAACTGGGGGCACTGGGATGGGCACTGGGGGCACTGTGGTTCCCCGTGGAGAAGACGATGCCACGCGCTGTCCCTGCGGTGGCACCGAGGTGACAAAGGGTCTATGGGGATGGCAGGGGGCAGGGGGATGGCACCGGGGACACTGGGATGGGCACTGGGATGGAGAACTGGGGGCACTGGGAAGGGCACTGGGATGGGCACTGGTGGCACTGGGATGGGCACTGGTGGCACGGGTGGCAGTAGGATGGGCACTGGTGGCACCAGTGGCACTGGGATGGGCACTGGGATGGGCACTGGTGGCACGAGTAGCACCTGGATGGGCACTGGGACGGGCACTGGGATGGGCACTGGTGGCACCGCACCACTGTCACTGGGATGGGCACTGGGACGGGCACTGGTGGCACTGGGATGAGCACTGGGATGGGCATTGGTGGTACGAGTGGCACCTGGATGGGCACTGGGACGGGCACTGGGATGGGCACTGGTAGCACTGGGATGGGCACTGGGATGAGCACTGGTGGCACTGGGATGAGCACGGGGATGGGCACTGGGATGGGCACTGGGACGGGCACTGGTGGCACTGGGAGGGGCACTGGGACGGGCACCGGTGGCACCGGTGGCACTGGGAGGGCGCCGGGCCCACCTTCGACGCAGTTGGTGGAGAAGAAGCAGATGTTGCGCGTCTCCAGCGGGTTCTCGTGCGTGAACTCCGGGGAGCGCGTCTGCGGCTCCGACTCGCCCGTCAGGGAGGAGTTATCCACCTGGGGGTCGGGGGTAAGGTCTTATTAGTTTTCTTCTTATTTTGCATTATCCTACCATCTTATAAACTGGCAATACATTAATTTAATTTCCCTGTGTTGAGCCTGTTTTGCTCAAAGATAGTTAGCAAGTGATCTCCCTGTTCTTACCTCAATTTCTGAGCTTTCCATTGTAATTTTTCTCCCTGTTCTGCTGAGGAGGGGATGTGATAGAGCACCTTGGTAAGCACCTGGTAGCCAGCCAAAGGCAACCAACCACAGCACCTTACAAGATGAGGACCAGGTTGATACAAGAAAGCAATCAACTGAGGACAGGAACAACTCTAATGACTATAAAGACTGGTAAGAAAAGAAAACCAGCAAGTTTCCTGTTCTTCAGTCTTAATGCTTTTCATTTAATAGAGCATGTTGAGTCATGTAACTATTCCATGGATAAATTATTAAGGTCACTAAACCCTAAAATCAGTATCTGTTTTTTTGAGAATTGTGATGTAAGTAAACAAGGCACACAAAACCAAGAACTGAACTTTCACTTTTCTCTCATATCCCTGAAATCAAAGACTTAAAGATTTGAGAAGTGGATACTCTTAAAGACGTTTTAATAGGATGTGGTTGACAGAGCTGAGGGTAACCATAGCCCAGCCATGGAGATTGCACAGCTCTGAGCAAGGAACAGGCATCACACAGGACTGAGTGGAGAGTTAAAGTCATCTTATCTGCTTCCTCTCCAGCTGACACATCCACACCGGGTGGCTCACTCACTCTGTCTGTATCACACTTCTCACACAGAGCCTTGTACACAACATTCTGGTTTTGTAGACTCAGCTGGGTGGCATATGATTACTGAATCTTAATTCATTTATTTGGATCAACAGCTGTGTAGCTTCCTACACACCTGGCACTTGGAGCATCAATTTTCATAGAAAGGCTAGATAAAATGGCACTTATTTGATCAGGCAGAGTGAAGACACTTTTGTTATGTGACAAAAAATGGAGCAGCAGTTCATAAATCCCCAATGTCCCCAGTGCCCCCCGTGCCCACCTTGCAGCCATGGGAGGAGATAATCCTCATGTCTGCGGGCACCCTGTTCCCAATGTCCCCAGTGTCCCCAATGTCCCCACTGTCCTCAGTGCACCCTGTGTCCCCAATGTCCCCAATGTCCCCAGTGCCCGCCGTGCCCCCCGTGCCCACCTTGCAGCCGTGGGAGGAGATGATCCTCATGTCGGCGGGCACCCTGTCGCCGCCCTTCACCTCCACCAGGTCGCCCACCACGACGTTCTCGGCGTTGATCTGGATCTTCTCGCCCTCGCGGATCACCAGCGCTTGCTGGGGGGGCACCGGGCACTCAGGGGGTGCCCACCCCCCCGAGACCCACCCCGGGACCCCCGGCCGTGCCCCGCTGCCCACCTGGGGCACCATGTTCTTGAAGGAGTCCATGATCTTGGAGCTCTTGGCCTCTTGGTAGTAGGAGAAGCAGCCGGTGACGATGACAACGGCGGCCAGGACCACCCCCAGGTACAGCTGGCACCGGGGGGGGGCACCTCAGCACCTGGGGGGCACCAAGGAACCCCCCGGGACCCCCAGGGCAGGGTGACAGGGAGGGGACACCCTCGGCGGTTTGACATCCCCCCCACACCCACAGCAGGCCCCTCGAGGGCTGGCACAGGGTGGGGAGGGGACAAGGAGCCACCTGTTTGTGCCACCCCCGGTGCCACTGTCCCCATGGCACCTGTCCCCACTCCCTTGATGTCGCTGTCCCCATGATCCCAGAGCCCCCACAGTGTCCCCCGTGTCCCCACAGCGCCCCTGTCCCCACTCACTGCCGTGCCCCTTGTGCCACCACGATGCCCCTGTCCCCCTCAAGGTCCCTGTCCCCACAACGCCCATGCCACCCCCGTGTCCCACCGTGATGCCCCTGGCCCCACAACGTCCCTGTCCCCCTTCACTGCCAGTGCCCCCATGTCCCCTGTGCCCCCAGTGTCCCCCATAACCCCCATACCCCTGGTGTCCCCAGTGCTCCCCATGCCCCTGATGCCCCCCGTGTCCCTGATGTCCCTGTGTCCCCCTGGTGCCCCTGGTGCCCCTGGTGTTCCCCATGCCCCTGATGCCCCCTGTGCCCCTGGTGTCCTCATGTCCCCAGTGTCTCTGGTGTCCCCGTGTCCCCCTGGTGTCCCCGTGTCCCCCTGGTGTCCCCATGTCCCTGTGTCCCTGGTGCTCCCCGTATCCGTGGTGTCCTAATGCCCCTGAGCCCCCCCGTGCCCCTGGTGTCCCTGGTGTCTCTGTGTCCCCTGTGCCTTTGGTGTCCCTGGTGTCCCCGTGTCCCCAGTGCCCCCGTGTCCCCATGTCCCCAGTGTCGTCCCCAGTGTCCCCATGCCCCCGGTGTCCCCGTGTCCCCGTGTCCCTGATGCCCCTGATGCCCCTGATGCCCCTGGTGTCCCCCGTGTCCACCATGCCCCCAGTGCCCCTGGTGTCCCCATGCCCCTGGTGTCCCCGTGTCCCTGGTGTCCCCATGTCCCCCTGGTGTCCCTGTGTCCCCATGCCCCCAGTGCCCCTGGTGTCCCCATGTCCCCGTGTCCCCCCCGTGTCCCCATGTCCCCATGTCCCCCCAGTGTCCCCATGTCCCCCCGGTGTCCCCTGCCAGTGCCCCCATGTCCCCTGTGCCCCCAGTGTCCCCCATAACCCCCATACCCCTGGTGCCCCCCAGTGCCCCCCAGTGCCCCCAGTGCTCCCCATGCCCCTGATGCCCCCTGTGCCCCTGGTGTCCTCATGTCCCCAGTGTCTCTGGTGTCCCCATGTCCCCGTGTCCCCCTGGTGTCCCCATGTCCCTGTGTCCCTGGTGCCCCCAGTGTCCGTGGTGTCCTAATGCCCCTGAGCCCCCCCGTGCCCCTGGTGTCTCTGGTGTCCCCGTGTCCCCTGTGCCCCTGGTGTCCCTGGTGTCTCTGTGTCCCCTGTGCCTTTGGTGTCCCTGGTGTCCCCGTGTCCCCAGTGCCCCCGTGTCCCCATGTCGTGTCCCTGATGTCCCTGTGTCCCCCTGGTGCCCCTGGTGCCCCTGGTGTTCCCCATGCCCCTGATGCCCCTGGTGTCCCTGGTGTCTCTGTGTCCCCTGTGCCTTTGGTGTCCCTGGTGTCCCCGTGTCCCCAGTGCCCCCGTGTCCCCATGTCCCCAGTGTCGTCCCCAGTGTCCCCATGCCCCCGGTGTCCCCGTGTCCCCGTGTCCCTGATGCCCCTGATGCCCCTGATGCCCCTGGTGTCCCCCGTGTCCACCATGCCCCCAGTGCCCCTGGTGTCCCCATGCCCCTGGTGTCCCCGTGTCCCTGGTGTCCCCATGTCCCCCTGGTGTCCCTGTGTCCCCATGCCCCCAGTGCCCCTGGTGTCCCCATGTCCCCCTGGTGTCAACACGGTGACACCAGGGACATGGGGACAAGGGGACACCAGGGACATGGGGACACTGGGGGGACACAGTGACATTGGGGACACCAGGAACACGGGGACACCAGGGGCACCTTGGAGTGTGGGGGGACACAGTGACACCAGGGACTTGGGGACATGGGGACACAGGGACACGGGGACACGGGGACACAGGGACACAGGGACACGGGGACATGGGGATTGAGGGATGTGAGGGTACAGGGACACGGGGACACGGGGACACAGGGACACAGGGACATGGGGACACAGGGACACGGGGACACCAGGGACATGGGGACACAGGGACATGGGGACACGGGGATACGGTGACACCAGGGACATGGGGACACAGGGACATGGGGATACAAGCACACAGGGACACAGGGACATGGGGACATTGGGATTGAGGGATGTGAGGGTACAGGGACACGGGGACACGGGGACACAGGGACACAGGGACATGGGGACATGGGGACACAGGGACACAGGGACATGGGGACACAGGGACACGGGGACACCAGGGACATGGGGACACAGGGACATGGGGACACAGGGACACGGGGACATCTCACCCGGGACAGGTCCACCTGGTACTTCCTGCCCAGCTCATCCAGGGACAGTTTGTGGTCATCCTGAGGGACAAATGCCAGCCCTGTCACCGCGCCCCCCAGCCAGGGTGAGGGGCCAGCTGTCCCCCTGTCACCCATGTCCAGCTGTCCCCAGAGTCCCACATCGCCCATGTCAGCCGTGTGTCACCTCAGCTGGGTGACGTGGGACAGCTGTCCCCATGACCCCAGTCACCCCAGCAGGGTGGCATGGCTCCATGTCCCCGTGTCACCCACGTCCCTCTGGATGGGATGACACAGCCAGCTGTCCCTGGAGTCCCATGTCACCCACGTCACTGTGTTATCCATGTCACCCATGTCACCATGGTCCCAGTGTCACCCATGTCACCCATGCCCCCTGTGCTTCCCATGTCCCCCTGTACCTGTTGCTGTCCCCCGTGTCCTCCATGTCCCCTGTCCCTGTCCTCATCCCCTTGCTGTCACCTGCCCCCTATTGCTGTCCCCATGTCCCTTCACTGTCCTCATGTCCCTCCCGCTGTCCCCTCACTGTCCCTGTCCCTGTCCTTGTCCCCTGGCTGTCCCTATGTCCCCATGTCCCTGTCCCAGTGTCCCCATGTCCCTGTCCCTGTCCCTCTGTCCCTCTGTCCCCTGTCCCTTCACTGTCCCCGCATCCCCTGGCTGTCCTGTGTCCCCATGTCCTTGTCCCCTGTCCTTGTCCCGTGTCCCCCTATCCCTGTCCCGTGTCCCCATGTCCCTGTCTCCTTGCTGTCCCAGTGTCCCCTGGCTGTCCCGTGTCCCCATGTCCCTGTCCCTGTCTCTGCGTCCCCTGGCTGTCCCGTGTCCCCGTGTCCCCATGTCCCTGTCCCTGTCTCTGTCTCAGTGTCCCCTGGCTGTCCCCATGTCCCCCCGGCTGTCCCGTGTCCCCATGTCCCTGTCCCTGTCCCTGTCCCTGTCCTGTGTCCCCATGTCCCTGTCTCTGTCTCAGTGTCCCCTGGCTGTCCCCATGTCCCCCGCCTGTCCCGTGTCCCCGTGTCCCTGTCCCTGTCCCCACTCACCAGGTTCACCTCCTTCTTCAGCTCGTCCAGCTCCTTCTCCTTCTGCTTCCTCTTCCCGCCGCCATTCTCGGACGTGGTGGCCGCGGGCGAGTACTCGCGGCCGGCCTGCGGGGACCCCCCCGGTGGGCACGGGGACCCCCGCGGCGGGCACGGGGACACCCCGGAGGGCAGGGGACCCCCCCGGTGCCACCCCCGCCCCCCCGGCAGCCCAGGGCCATTACCGTGGGCGTGGAGGTCACGGCCAGCACCGGCGTCACCGTGGCCACCGGCATCGTCGGAGCGGGGGGGGGCGGCGGGCACCGGGCACCGGGCGGGCGGCCCTGGTGTCCCCAT